AATGGGGCAAAACTCACTTAACAAATGTCTCACTTAACAACTGAAATGTTGCGCTCAAATTGTGGTCGTAAGTTATACACACCTGCATACATAGATATACACATACAAATACATACATACTCCGTGTGTGTGTGTGTATGTATACATACATATATATACATCCTTATGTTAATGTATGATGTTGAAACTTGCTGTTTGCTGTTACCTTTTTAGAACAAAAATCAATGTTTATTTTATTGTTGCTTTTCCCTGCACCTTATAATCATAGCCTTGAGGAATGGCACCACCTATTGGCCTTCTTCAACCTGACATCGTCTTGTAAGAAATTCTGAGAACCGCAAACCAAATAAATTTGGACAGCACTAAACCAGGGAAGTCTCTACTTACTATTACACACTACACACACAAACACAGACCCATGACAGTCTACCACTTGAAAATATTATGTATTGCACAATTTCCATGTCTGCCTAATTTCCCTAATTTCCCTTTTCTTGTTGAAGAATTTGCTTGCATTATGACTGATCTGATCTATTTTTACACACCGTGTCGGGAGAAAATATTCCGTTAAACGTTAAACAACTCTATTTACGTCACTATGTAATCGACCAAAATAACGACTAGTATTACGACTAACATTACATTAATAAAAAACATTTGTAATTTCGTGTAAGGACTGTCAATCTTGTTAATTAGTTACCTTGTTGGACGGAGGTCTTCGACACTTACGAGGTTGTGACCTAGTTTTTAAGAAGAGACTGGACAGCCATTTGTCTGAAATGGTATAGGGCTTACTGCCTGAGCAGGAGATTGGACTAGATGACCTCCAAGGTTCCTTCCAATTTTATTATGATTATGATTCCAAATCATCCACTTCTCAAGAGACATTTAAGGTCAACATATAAATGTAAAGTGGAATGTAATATCTAGCCTTCTTTTCAATTGTAATATTGCACTGTAACTAAATTAATAACTCTGGATTTGTAGCATTGTCTGCAAATGAAGGATTCTAGCAACAGAAAGTATCCTCCAAACTTGCTCATGGTTTGTTCCAAAGAGATGGGAAATGTTCATGAAGTAGGAAATGAGCTGGTACACTGTACAACAAACTTAAGCGGCACTGAAGGAGCATACAGTCAAGTAATGCATCACAGACCAGTGCTTGGCAGAGAAGCCACGGAGGCCTTGAAAAATAAATTTATGTATTTATTTATCAAATTCTGAGACTGCCTCTCTTCCTCACAGAGTGCCTATACTTCAGGCCATGATCTTCCCTGAGACATTCTATGGAAGTGAAAGTTGGACTTTGAAGAAGCAGGACAGGAAGAGCATTGATAGTTTTGAATTTTGGTGTTGGAGAAGAACCCTGCCAATACCTTGGACAGTCCAGAAAACAAGCCAATGGATCATCAAACCAATCAACCTAGAACTTTAATTCAAGTCGCAAATGGCCACAATAAAATTATTCTACTTTGGGCACCTAGCTCCCTAGTAGAAAGTTTTAATGCTGGGAAAGGTTGAGGAAAAAAGAAGAGGATGATCAGCAGGAAAGTGGATAGATTCAGTTATGGTGGCCAGGGGTACACCGTTAGAAGACCTGAAAGATCAGATTAGGGAAAAATTGTCATGGAAGAAATCTACCTGTTTGCTAAGAATCAACGCCAACTTGATGGCGCATGATGGATCAAAGAGAACATGAAGTGGAAAAGAGATGCTGGTGTGTAAATGGAACTCAGCTCATTCAACAGGAATCTCACAACTGATGTATAATAATAATTATAGTAATAAAAACAAGTACCAAAATATTAAGAGTAAAGCAAAGAAAACCTGACTGGTCTCAGAGTATCACAAGGAATACATTAGCTTGCATGATTCTGATATTTATAGGTAATTGCATCATTGATTTAGATAAAAAATATTGTGAAAAGGATGGTATTATTACCTTTCCAGTGAACCTCTAGATGGTAATATTATTTTCATAATGCACAAATCCCAGACTGACACAACAAAACAGCCACCTACTGGTCACATGGTGCATATATGTGATATTAGAACATTTTTGCCCTCAAAGAGATTATTTTACCTTGCTAAAATTTTGTCACTTTCCCCTTTTTGTAAATATCTTCTGTAGTTCTGCATATTCCACTTTTGTTTAACCACTTTAGATACTCTGGTGCCTTTAACATAATTATTAACTGAATGCTCTAACTAGGACCATTTGTATACACATTTTAAAAAGCCAGTTCTAAAAAGGTATTTGTGGGATCCACTATCTAGAGATCTATCCATTGTAAGCACACAGTATTTTAGATATTTTTATTGCAAGAGAGAGTTTGGTGGGCCCACTTCTTGCATGTATTCTAAATGATGCATCCTTTTAGCATTTATTCTATGTCTACTAAATTTTCTTAGTCTACTTTGATGTACATTTTCATTAAAGAATACGCAAAAAAATACTTCTCATTTGCACTCCAAATGGCACACTCGAAGAACTTAGATCTTTTCAAAAAGTATCTGTTTTGTTAATACCTCTCCTGTTATATAACTTATAATTTTGTACCTAATAATGTTTACTTCCCATTTACCTAGCCTGTGCTTCCTGGAACGTCCTTTGTCTTTTTTGAAATATTGTATTACATTGGCTACTTTCCAATCCTTTAATGTGACCGGTTCTACAGATAAGGTGCATATTTTAATTCAAAGATCAACATGTTCACATTAGAGTTCCTTAAGATCTCTCAGATGTTTTATTGGGCTACCTACTTATTGCCAGTGTCAGCAATCATATCTCCTTTACATAAAAGGTAACTAATGATTAATTAATCTTGATTGGGCGGTTTTTAACAAACTCTATACAAGTTCAGGTAGAATGAGCTAGTATTATACACATTATTGCAAGGCTCATATGCCTTCTAAGCTACCCTTCCCGTACAGTTTCTTAAGTGATTGACTCATGATCCCAATATGAGAGGAATATTTACATAATTATGAAGTGTTTTTCAATCATGTTATTATTAAACAGCAGGAAATGGCAGCAGGAACTCAATCAAGAAAAGGAGTGGGACTATTTGTTTGTGAAATTAACTTCCCATAACACTGTTGTATTTCCCAGGTTGTGTGTAATCGCCTTAAGGTCTATGAGGGCCACTCTGAGTGCTTCCACACACCCCATCTTCAGCCATAAAAAACAACGAACAATATTCCTCAAAATAAACAGTGGTCTTTCTCTTGAAGTTCGGAAACATGCTTCATTGATAAGGTTTACAAGTGGCCATATCTGCTTTTTCCTTCGAAAAACAAGTCCATATATTGAATGATCATGGTTTGTTTAAACATACTTCATTGAATAGTCATAATTGGCTAGGTTTGCCCAATATGCACTATAAACCATGAATTAAGAAGGGCAATAGGTAAGTTCCCATAGTAGACTAAGCCAAATTCAGACAAATCACATTGTGACTTAATGTATGTTACGAACCCAATCCAGAGAGCTTGAACAGGGATGCCTAAGGGGGTCCAAAAAGTCAAGGTGGCAGGCACAACTAAACAATGAAAGCCGCATCTCCTTTTCAATATGTGTGCAATGACATACATACAAAAGAAGATGGCTGACACCTCCACTTTTTTTTTTTTTGCCCTTACCTCCCCGATACTGAGGGTTACTTTATTGTTTTACTTTATGGTATTCTGCTGATACCATCAAGTCAAGCTTTTAATGTATTAGATTGGATGCTTTTCTATCTGTATTTCTACAGAAAATAATGTATTTAACAATTACAATTTTCCAAACAAAATACAAAAACAAAGGTTTATCTATGTGTGAGAGACACTTTGGCCTACTACTTAGAGCAGCGGACTAGAAATCAGAATACTGTGAGTTCTAGTTCCACCTTATACATGAAAGTCGGCTGGGTGATTTGGGGCCAGTCATTTTTTCTAATCCCACAACATCCGGGTCCGGCCACAAGTCATTTGATCATTTCCTCTTACAACGGGCCGGTTGCATCATGCGGAAGCCACACCCACCCCAGCTCCACCAATGGGAAAAAAGTTGTGATATGTCACGACACGTCACGTGACATGGTGAGTTTGACACCCGTGTTTTACAACCAATGAATCAACACTTGATTGATTCTGAAAAAAATGCAGACTCTGCACTTGTGGGAAAGCATTAGGAAGGGGAAAATGTGTTTATGTTTGTGTCTTATTTTCCTGAATCCTTATTTCCTTACTTTTCCTGAACATGCATGAACCTGAACATATATAGAATTGTGCTGACTGATATAATGAGAAGTAAAAAATTTGCTCTAAATGTTAGAAATGAACAGAGCTCCCAGTCCTAAGAATACACTTAACTATTCAAGATAGCTGAGATTTCGCATCATGATAAATCATGTTTTATTAAGCCATGATTTGATATGTCCAGCCATAAACTGAACAAAATTGAACAAACTACATTGTGACTTAGTACACTGTTGAACCATGCTACCATTCTTGGTCATGAATCTTTCCCATCAAGTGAACACCTTTTAAAGGTCTACTTAGCTCTGCAAAGATCTAGTTCTACGTTCTGCCCGCTTCTGCCCGAGGACACTCCCGAAGATAAATCCAAATCTTCCGGTTCCCTCAGAAGTTCTTCAGTCACTATGAACGTCACCCTTTCCATTCATTTATAACAATGTGTAGGAATGTGGCTGCCTCCCAAAATTGTAGAAGGGGTGGTTTCATTGTTCAACAAGCACTGGATGCTCATAGGCAAGTGTTAATCATGATCTTTCAAATTTCACAAGCTTGGAGTCTTACAGTTTTGTATGGGAGAATGATTGCTCAGAGAGACACAGGAAAGTGGAGCAATGACCTCAGTGTAAGGATTGACGGTGTGGTTAAGAGTCAGATAAACGTCAAGAAAGAGAGAACACACAGCTTAACTGGATGTTGCTGCTAGCTGGGTAGGACCATATTTGCAGCTCTGCCAGCAGCAAAGGTGTCTGTTTCTTTAAATACCTTGGTGGGATTATTTCTGCAGCTATGTCCACAGTTAACCGCACTTCTTCCAATAGCTACCAGAACCCAGGATTTGAGGTAAGTCTAAAATGTTTTGTGTTGTTGTTCTGGAAAAAGTTCAGATAATTTAACACAGTTTCAAGGAAGGACTGTCACCTGCTTCGCCCAGGCAACAATTCTTTAATAACAAATAAACTTGCTAAGAAAGAATCTGTCAGTGCAAGTGCTCTTTTCTCAAAGACTGAATACAATTACACCATTGTGAAGAGATATGCGAGTTACTGGGCTTTTTTTTCCCCTTCTGGATTATTATATCAACAAATTAGTCCTACCCCTGTTTGACTCGGGAACTGAATTAGTTGCAAGTACAACTTTTAGATACATTCTGAACTTATTTAACCTATTTGGGGGATGGGGGGGGGGAGAATCCCAGGCTAGATCACGTTGTACAGATCGTAATGACTGTGGTAGCAGTGTTGGTTGTACAGTGTGATTGTTTTACAACACATATGTAGGTATAATTTGCATTTTTAAGCATTTTGTGCCATTGTACCAGTGTTATCAACACTAATTAGTATTTACTAATAGTATTTAAAGTAGTACCCACAGGGATAGAAAATATTTACATCTAAAATGCTTCATTAGCGTAACTTCCTCAACCTGGCACTTTCCAGGTTGGTTAAGATTACAATGCCCCAGATTCCCCAAATTCCCCAAATTCCTTGGATCTCCCATATCCTTTTGGCACCAAGTTAATTTCTTTCATTTTCAGAGATGCATAGATTAATCATTAAATTTAAAACAAAGGCTATCAGTCAACACTAATATAAATGCGTTCCAGTTTATTTATTCTAAAAAATAAGTAAAAGAATTCTCAATTTATATCAATCGTCCAATGGCACTTAGCTGTTTTCTAGTGGTCAAAATATCACATAATAGCCCCTGAAAGTTATTATCAAGCTTAACATGGACAATTGTGGGAAGCAGGTACAGGATTGGCAATCACTTCTCTTTCTCACCTTCTTCCTCCTTTGTGTTTGTTATGAATTATTTCTTAACATCTGTATTCCCACCATTACTCAGGTTGAGTTAGAAGTGCTATTATTAAAATAACCACACGCAAAACCACATGCAAGAGGAAGGTTATCAGAGGACTGATGACCTCCACCCTCCAAAGTTTACACTAACATATAAAAATTATTTTGAAAAATTATTTGGCAACAATCCAAAGCATCCTGATACTGGTAGTTCTTGACTTACAACCACAGCTGAGACCAGAATTCCCATCCTAAGTCAGTGCAGTTGTAAAATGAGTCATCACGTGACCAGATCTGATTGTGTGACCAGTTTTACTGTGATAATTAAATGAATCACCATGGTCAGGGGTAGGCAACCTTGACTCTTTTATGACTCATGGACTTCAACTCCCAGAATTCCTGAGCCAGCCAGCTCAGGAATTCTGGGAGTTGAAGTCCACAAATCATAAAAGAGCCAAGGTTGCCTACCCCTGATTCCATGGTCATTAAGCAAATCATGTGATTGTCAGCTGAATCTAGATGTTAGTATGAAGCACCAACATGATGGCACATAATCCATAATTAATCAAAAAGTATGTTTGATGACCTCAGGTAATGCCAGACAGCTTACAGGTTCAATCAGTAGCTTACAGTATCTGATTTAGAAAATTGAATTATCCATGACTCAGTGGAGTGAAGTCCAGGTAAACATGTTGTCAGGGTATTGCCAGATAATCCATAGAGCTCTCTGCAGTTACACCTAATCGTGTTTCCATATTGTACTTCACCTTAATCCAGTTTGATTCTTTTGGCATGTTGATATGACTTAGCTTTATGTGTAATCTAGGCCACTATAACTTTCTCAATAGACCATAGCTAAAAGAAATCTTGGCTCACAATAATATGTGAGCCCAACCAACAAAAAGGATTGCAGTCACTGGGCAGATAGGAAGAAGGGTTAAAAGTCGGATAATGAAAATTAAGAATTTGGATCCTGGAAGTCATCCCCTAGTAATCCCAATTACTTTCCATAATTGTGGGTGTTTTCTGGAGTGCATTTCATTATTTATTTAACAGTATTTGTAACGTGTGCCAGCCTACAGTACCCCGAAAGCAAACTTAAAAAGCTTTCCTTGGGAGGAAAATCTTGTTGAAATAGCAAGTAGTTGTGTATGAAATACAAGCAGGGCAGAGGTCACACTCAGGGGGAGTGTGTTTCAAAGGGAGGGAGCTATCACAGAAAAGGTTTTGTTGTTGTTATTGTTGTTGTTGTTTATATGTTTTTGATGGGTTGGAATTTCCAACAAGTCTTCTTTAGATTACTAAGTAGGATAGGCAGATTTAATTATAGCGAGATGCTGCTTGATGCATTCCTTTTCTGTGCTGTAAATGGATTTAAAGATGATTTCAGCTTTAGATATCCCTATACAGAATACCCCGCAACCTGACAGAGGTAATGAGAAGTATGAGTCATGATGAAGAGCCCTGGTGGCGCAATAGTTAGAATGTAGTATTGCAGGCTAACGCTGCACATAGCTTGGAGTTCAATCCTGACAGGGCTCAAGGTTGACTCAGCCTTCCATCCTTCCAAGGTCAGTAAAATGAGGACCCAGATTGTTGGGGGCAATATGCTGACTCTATAAACCACTTAGAGAATGCTGTAAAAGCACAATGGAGTAGTACATAAGTCTAAGTGCTATTGCTATTGCTATGAGTGGCTGACATCAAGGCATCCTCGTCCAGATATAGTGATCTTCCTTTTAAAGCAGTGTCTGTGGGATGACTGTCATTTTAACTTCACAACCCTGTTGAAATATGCCTAAAGTTAAACTATGAGCTCCACAGTGAAACGAGGACTTCAACCTGCTCCCATTCTATTTCTCTAACCATTACACCACAGTGCAATTCCTATGGCACACCTGGATGGCGCCCAGGTGGGATACATCAGTCTCTGCCTAATTGACCTGTTTTCAAATGTGGAATCTACAACTGGAAGATGAAGAAAGTATTCACACATGCATTTATCACTTATTTGATTTAATAACCATCAACACACTGTAGCAAATTAGATATGGGTCTTCAGACCTCAAGTCATAACTTTTAACTAAGAGAGAACACTAAAAAATGTATTTACTAACGCCAGGCACAAGATTGGAATAAAACTCTTATGATTTTCTAAGAAGCAGTTTGGTGGCAAACCAAACTTGGATGGGATAATGGGAACAAATCAGCTAAGAATCAAAAATATCTCCTCCCATTCTGCTCAGTAAGGTCAGATGAGGAAAAGAAAGTAGAAAAGGTCGTGAATGTGCAACAGAACTTTCTTTATAAGGCAAGAGGAAAACACTCTTTGCAATCTCTTTTGCAAGATGTCCAATTTCATCTCTTTCCTCTGCAAATTTTGTAAGTTTTTCACTTGTAGGAAGTTTTTTTTTTTAAAAAAAAAAAAGAAAGAAAGAAAAGGAAATTCATTTACAAGAAAACTAAGAACTTGCATCTTTGTTGCAAAACCAGCTACTGAAAGGAGTAAAAAGAGTTTTTTTTCTTACTTATCTTTAGCAAAGTACAGTACTGCAGAGGAGAAAATATCACAGGAAGAAAGTAAGGGGTATAATTTATGCTCCTTGCAAAAATAACAGTTCCTGCAGTTTATAGTTGCCTGGCTGAAGTTTGGAGGGTGCAGTTGCATCTTAAAGTTTGTGGCATATTAAACTGGTGATTAAAAGTTCAGAGCTTGCAGTTTGAGCTCCTATATGACAGAATCAGGACAGGCAGACGAAAGGTGTTTAAACAAACAAACAAAATGAAAACTTTAATGGAATTTAGGAACTGATTTTTTGTGCTTTGACTCTTTCCTCTATTCCCTCAGGGAGCAGAATGTGTATTTATGTCTCTCTGTGTGTAGATCTCTGTTTGCGTATATCCTCCATTTTATCTTCACAACTCTATGAAATGAGTTGAGTAAGTGTCGGAGGACACTCAAAAAGCTTCATGCCTTTGCAGGCATTTGAATCTGGATTTCCCTCAATTCACAAATTTATTATATAGGTAATGTATGTATATCAAGAAGTTAAATATTTGACCGAGACTGAGAGGGAGTGCTTGGCCCAAGGTCACCTAGCTGGGTTCCTAAGACAGGACTGGAACTCATGTTTTCTCAGTTTCAGGCCTGTTGCTTTAACCACTACACCAAACTGGTTCTCATTATTATATTACTAAGATTTAAATTTACCCCTTTGTTGTTTGAGAAGTAAGTTCAATAAAGAACTATCATTATCAGATGGAAGGCAAATTTACAGTCCACAGGTTTGCTTGCATTTTAATATTGTTACGTAAAGATACTTGATTCTGTTTAATACAGATACAAAAATATGTAGCTTTTATTAGCTTTGAAATGTGCCTCTTTGGACTTAGCTAAATAATTTATTAAGCTTAAAAGCCATCTTTTTTTTTTAATTTTAAAATGTCAATATGACCATTCGTAGTCAGTAGAGGTCAGCTAAAAAGCAGCATGTGGCCTCCAGTTTTAGCAGAGGCTCCCGCACCTCTTAAAGTGGAAGAAGCACTCTACATTCCTCATAGCACCCCAAGATCCCATTACAAAAATTCAGTGGCAAAATGGCCAAATGTCAACCCCTGACATCATCATTTGGACCCAGTGTTGGATTCTTGAGGGAAGGAATAAAGGGTGGGAATGGAGCTGGAAGATTCTGGAAGGCAAGGTATTTCCAACTTCCACCTCTAAAATTTCAAAGGCTCTACCCCAGAGGCCCGAATCATATTTCTGCCAGGAACAGTGTGTTTGTGGGATTTAAGATTGGTGATGGAAAGAGTTTGTTCCCAGATGCCTCCCACTGTTTCCTATCCCTAATTCAGTATATTGAAATAAGCTAAAGTAAAAGGTGAAAAAAAGGTAAGGACAGGTGACACCAGCACTGCTTTTTTTTCCCCTCTGATCCACTTCACCAAATGGCCTCCTTTGGCCCTCTTGATCCTTGAAAAATTGAAGCTTGGCTCCTCAGACTCTAATGGGTTTCAGATTTTGATTTGTCTGAGCCTTGAACTGTACTCTGATCCACTGTAATGAAGTGACCGATCTAATCTTTACAGTGAATCGGTATATTTAAGTTAGAAAATTCATTAATGGATTTCTGCGCATGAACCATGATTGGGAAACTCAAAGGTGCTTTTTTTCCTCCCCAAAAGGCAATTGAATTGAATTTTTTCCTTGAGGAAGAAGAAGACATTTCACTTCTCATCCAAGAAAATTCATGTATTATGACTGGATGGAAGGACAGGTTCTAACAGGATTTTGGGGGGGGGGAGATTATATTTCTTTGCAGTCATGTAGGCATTAGCACTCTGTCTGAGAGCTGTTGAGGCCACTTGGGGGTTTATCTGTGCTCTCAAAGTCACCTGAATGACTCTGAGGGCCCAGATAAACACCCAAGTGGTTTCAACAGCTCTCAGAGAGGGTGCTAATGACCAGATGACAGCAAAAAAATGTAATTCTTCCATTGTTACCACCATCCCCCATCCTGTCAGAACCTATCCTTCCATCCCCCCACCATCCAGTCACAACTGATGAAGCTTCCTCCTCCTCAAGGAAAAAACAGTCCAACTGACTTAAAAAAAAAAAGCATCTTTGAGACAGCTATGACCTGGATGCTTGAAAATCTCCATAGACATGTTTGGGAAAGTTGTCCTGAGGCTGGATCAATTGATGGGTTATTTTATTTACAAATGGCAATTTAGCCCAGGCAAGAGATTTAGCCTTTATTGACTCATTACAGTTATGAAGATTCTATATCTATCCAGGATGAACATTAAAGGTATTGTACTAAAATCCATGTTCTTGCTTCCTTGGTCTTGCCTGGCAAAGGACAATTCAGCAGAAACCAGCCAAGCCTGGGTGTTGCTAATTACTAACATGAGTTTGCTCAAAATATAAGGCTACAAATTCTACCTATTTACTTTTCATTCAGTTTCTCTCTACCCCACCCTCCTAGTCACAATCTGGCTTTGCTTCTCTCTGAGAAATTAGAGGCTGTGCCAAAGTTGTACACATGGAAACAGAAACTAAAAAATGATGGACATCTTTTTGTGGCCAGGAACTGCACTTAATATTATTTTGTGGGCAGTGATACAGTACAGATCAAACCATACTTTTCTTTCTTTGCTGTTTAAGTGTTAAGCTAATGTTAAGATTTATCTGATCTCTGTGAGATGGGCTAAAATGAAATTTGCAAAATTGTATTTAATCAAAAACACAATTTGTAAACCATTCAGCAGATAATGAGTTAACTACATGATATGAATTATCCCAATCATTTAAAACCAACAGTCCTCCTTTGTTCAAAGTTGGTTAAGCAGTTTTTATTTGCAATTTTATGGTAAGCCAATCTAAGTGCTTCTCTGATTTCTCAAGATACTAAAAGCTTCCATTATTCGCCGGCAGGCAACTCCATTTCCAATGATAGCACAATAATAGTAATTGCCAACTTAGAATTTGTAACTTGAATGTGTCCCCCAGGATAATAGTCCATAACTATTATGCTCTTCCCTACAGTTTCCCAATATTCATATACACATTGTTTTTTTGGTGGGGTATTCCAGTCTAATCAGAGGAATTAAAACATGGGGAATACATTTAGCTACAGCTTTTGTATGAATCATGCCTCAAACTAGCAACAATCCATGCAGCTGACTTTCAGTAATCCTTGTGTTGGAAAAATATGGAAATATGTTGGTGCAGAGGAGAGGGGATCCAGGAATCACAAAAAGTGGGAGGATTGGGAGATCTAGAATGCAATTTATCCACTCCTATCCACCTTGTTCCAATTTTTGGTTATCACAGAGGTGGGAATGTGATCCCCCTCGCAATATCCCATTCTGTACACACATACCGTTAATGGCTTTTGCCTGCCTTTAATTCTCCTTCTTTCTTATGAAGACACCTGTAGGGAATAAGGAAGATGGCCTGAGCAGAGATATGCAGGAACCACTACTTAAGCAAAGGGGGATGAAAATCTTTAAAGTCCAGAACAAAGAGATAACATTCAGAAACGGCTCAGGCAGATGCCTGCCTAATTCACTGAATGATAAGGAAGATGAGCGCAATCAGATTTGCAAGATTCTGGTATTATGGTCAATCTCAGGAAAAGTCATTGTAGCCTTCATGTGGAGTTGATTTGCTGGGTTGATCTACCGAGTGGGGCTGACAGCACAGCAAGATGAATGTCACTCCTATTGTCGCATATGCTAACTTGAAGTCTGTTCATCTCAAGTCAAATGTTGTGCCTTGCAGGAAGACACCGATGATTCAAAAATAAATGGTATTGCATTAAGAAACAGGAACTTAGAAAGCAGTAACTCTCTTCATCCTGATGAGGTAAGAGGAAATGACAACTTTTGCTTCTGTGGGCATTGTGCTGAACTAAACACATTACAGTTTTCTCTGGCTGTTAGTGTTAAACTACTGTTTAAATCAGTAGTTTGGGAACTGAGAAGGAGCCAGAATATGATTTTGGTATGGGGAAGAAAACTTATACGCTTTGGGTAACCAAGCCCTACCCTTTCAATTAAACATACCTAAAGATTATTAAGATAACTGAGATAATGTGGGATGGTGAATAGAGAGCAGACATCTTGAGAGACACTGAGAACTAGAAGGCAAGTTTTCCTTGTATCTGGCCCTTGAAGAGGAATCAAGGGAATAAAAACACATGATTAGTAACCCATTTTGCTTTCTCTTCTCCTAGCATGAGACAAACATCAATATTGACAGCAAGCCATATGGAAGCCAACCTGAATCAGAAGAAAACAAGAATCTTGGGTGCAAGGGGTAATAATTTCATTAGGAGTTCTCCACCTATCAATGTCCCTTTCGAGTGACGTTTTAGTGCATTCAGGCACACTGGGTTCAGTTTTCGGCTTCCGAGTTATTTTTGATATCTAAATAACAAAGGCCTGTTCTTCAATCACTCTGTCATACTTTGCTTCTTTTGTAATAAAAGATTCCATAGAGGGTTGCGCTAACTTATTGGCATATGATTATTATTTATTTAAATTATATCCCATCTTTCTTCTAAGGCAGAGGACCCCAATCTTTGTGGCTTGGCAGCCCAGCTGGGATGGAAGAGGGGAACTGGGCCATGAGAGTGGAGAGCTGGTGCATGTGCATGCACAAACGCAGCCTTTCAGTGGGTGGCAGGCCGGCACGCATGCACATAAGGGCCCGTTGGTACGCCGTTCACGCCAGTTGAACTGCATGCACACCAGCCAGCCACTTGTGCAGCCCAATTCAAAACAGGCCACGGCCCGGGAGTTGGGAACCTCTGTTCTAAGAGCTGAAGATGGCTCACACAAGATTTTTCCATAACAATAATATTTTTGGGTAGTTTGGATTAAGAGATACCTTTTGGAACATCTGAACCCCCCAGGGTCTCTGCTCCTACCCTCCTGATCTTTGGTAAGGCCCTGAAAACCTGACTCTGCCAGTTGGCTTAAGCCCCAATAGGGTAGTGCCACTCTGGAGGTGCTTGATGGACTAAAAGCAGATCCCACTTCATTCCCTGCACACCTTGTTCCCACCTTCCCCACCTTTTTGCAATAATTTATAATGTTATTGCTATATTCATTTGTATTGTTTATTGATTTTAATTTTGTAAGCTGCCCAGATTCACCTTGTGGCAAGATTAATTAATTAGGCTGGCCCCAAACTCACTTACTCAGATAGCCAAAGATGGTCTGGAACCTGATTTCCAACTACTACACAAAGTCTGATCAGACCCCGATGGATCTTAGGCTTGCTTCATACATGTCACTAAAATCATCATGTCAAAGAGTAGAGTAGAGTAGAGTAGAGTAGAGTAGAGTAGAGTAGAGTAGAGTAGAGTAGAGTAGAGTAGAGTAGAGTAGGAAGAGACCTTGGAGGTCTTCTAGTCCAGCCCCCTACTCAAGCAGGAGAACCTATACCATCTCAGACAAGTGACTGTCTAGCCTCTTCTTAAAAATCTCCAGTGATGAAGCGCCCACAATTTCTGGAGGCAAGCTATTCCACTGGTTAATTGTCCTCACTGGCAGGAGTTTCTCCTTAATTCCAGATTGCTTCTCTCTTTGTTCAATTTCCAACCATTGTTTCTTGTCCTGCCCTCTGGTGCTTTGGAGAATAACGTGACCCCCCTCTTCTTTGTGGCAGCCCCTTAAATACTTTGATTGCTTTTGGCTTCGCATGGTATCTAAAACCAAATTACTATAGTTTGCTCATCTAAACATGTTTGTAAAAACTTTTACTCACATGAGGAAGACAATGTAAAGAAAATCTAAAATTCCTGTATAACCAATATGTTCTGTTCATTGTTAATTTTAATATATTTGGTAATGCATACTTATCTACTTACAGTACAAAATAGTGTGTGTTTAAGTTATCCTGTTTACAGTACTTATTATCTTACATTTTATCCTTCTAGGAAACTTGCAAGGAAATATGATATGGTCCTTCAATTTTGCAGGAAACATAAAACTATAATCCGATACATTATTTATGGAATACTAATTACGGGTAAGTAATATACATTCTGGAAAATAGCATTTTTTTGTAGAATTTGGGGTATATATATTTTTTAAGTGTGAGACTAATTGCATAAAATAAAATCCATCTCTTGGTTATATGCCCGTCTGATTACTGCAATCTTCTCCAGCCAGAAGGCTATCTTTGAAAAAAGTCTGTAAGCTCTAATTTATGTAAAACATGTCAGCTAAGGTGTAGACCAGTGCAAGAGCTATTGGAATTACACAGTGGCTATTTTGAAAGTTCTGTACTGTTTGACAAATTGCTTTTTGGGACAATTTAATATGTTGGTGTTAAAATTCTTCAATGAATTAAAGCCTGACTACCTGAAGATACATATAGCCAAGTGGCCTTGTTAATATGGTATCCTCCAGTCTTATGTTAACAGGAAAGTATGGCTGCATAAATTGGGCTGTCCTGACCATTGAGCTTTATTTTGTTTCAGTAATGAAGCTCATAAGCTGTACTCTATAGTTTTAATGCAGGATATATTAAGAAAATGGATGGATGGATGGATGGATGGATGGATTCCTCTGATTTGGTTTCTCTTCCCACTGACCATCACTTGCCAGCAGGAAAAATAACAATTGTTCTCTTAAACATATGGTGGGACAGGGTTAGACAAATTACAAAGAGTTATTGTGGAAGAGCTTGTCTCCTGGAGACAAGAATACTCTTATTGTTAAGAGGTTTTCAAGCAAAGTTTGAACAGCAGTTCTTGCTGGATATTATGGAGATTCTTGCGTTGGACAAAGGATTGAATTAGAAGACTTCCAAGGTCAAGAAATACCTCCTTATTTCAAGTTTGAATCTTTCTCTGTAAAGCTTTCATGAACCATTACTTTAAAACTGGCAAAATTAAAGACAAATGAGACAATGGCAATGTCATCTCACCTTGTTTAATTACGGTTAGAGGGACAGGTGGATAAGACCTCAGGGACCATCTCTTCTTTTAATACTCTCTCCCACTATTACTATTGAGTGAAATCTTTGTACGTTTATTGTTTACTTCTTTGATGAGTTTTTGCTGTTGTTGTTTCAGATAATTAGATTGCATTGGAATAGGTGGTGATATCAAAATTGCTTTGACTTAGTTTGTGCTTAGCTTCCTGTAGCAACTATAATTTTCCTGAGGTAAAAGTAAGATTAAGCTGACACGATATCAGTTTCATTAACTGCTGTTATGCCTGCTTGGGTAAAACAGAGTATTTTGCATCTTGCCCCTCCCTCTTCCATCAGGGAGAATATTGGTAGTCCTTGACTTAAGACGACAACTGAGCCCAAAATTTCCATTGCTAAGCAAGGCAGTTGTGAAGTGAGTTTTGTCCCATTTTACAACCTTTTTGCCATAGTTTTAAGCAAATCATTGCACTTGTTAAGTGAATTGTGCAGTTGTTAAGTGAATCTGGCCTCCCTCATTGATTTTGCTTGTGAAGGTTATTAATGGTGATCACATGACCCCAAGACAGCACGACTCTCATAAATACATCCTAGTTGCCAAGTGCCTGAATTTTGATCACATGACTGTGGTGATGCTGCACCAGTTGAAAGTGTGAAAACTGGTCAGTAGTCACTTTCTTCAGTGGTATTGTAACTTCAAACAGTCACTGAAAGATGGTCTTCCTTGTAGATGTTTTTCCTCCAATTTGTCAGTCCAAAGCAGAAAGAATGTTGATAATTTGGTCATGAGTGAAACAATCATTCTCATTCTGTTCTTCCAAACAAAACGTTTCCCCTTTTGCCCAATTAAAACATAGAGTTTTAGGGAAAGGATGAAAAAATGAACAGTTCTCTCACCCTGATGGATGCGAAGTGTGGTTAGATCAGGGGTCTTCAAACTTGGCCCTTTTATGACTTGTGGACTTCAACTCCCAGAATTCCTCAGCCAGGCATGCTGGCTGAGGAATTCTGGGAGTTGAAGTCCACAAGTCATAAAAGGGCCAAGTAATTTCTGGGGACCCAATCTTCCATATTTTTACAATCCAAAATACATTTGTGGACAAAATACTTTTGTAGATTCCTAAAGGTTTCTCTATATGAGTCATGTTGTATCATAAGTAAGTAAAGTTTCGTATTAGTAAAGAAAAATTAATGACTACTAGACTTTTAACGACCATTGACAACGTTAAAACAAAGTCCTTTTTTCAACAACCAGGAGATGGAGACATTTTGTATGCAGTCTGGACAGCTGACATGATCTTTCTTTTTTTCCATTACAGCTTATCTGGCAATGGTGATTGCAGCCTGCATCTTGAATTTTCACAGAGCCTTAGCACTCTTCGTCCTCACTCTCCTAGCCATTGTTTTCATCTGTTGGGACTTTTTCATAGCCAGATATGAGGGTAAAATTGCAGAGCTACTGTCTCCTTTGGGAAAATTTCTGAAAGCTCAGTGGTTTTGGTTGAAATGGTAATTAACCAAGTTTCTTTTTTAAAAAAAAGTGAAAATGAGATTATGCAGTTGTTTGTGATTTTCAGTACTATATAAATGTTATAAACTATGTTACGTTTCCTCTTAGTTACTAAAAAAAACCAGGACTTTGCGATATTAACTCAGGATAAAACTTCAGTTTTCTTTGTCCTAAAGAAGTACATTTCAGTATCTAGGCAGGGGATGTACTATTAAAATACACATTGCCAATTATTAAAGTAGCTCCCACAGCTATGTTTTTAATAAGAGTTTAGTAATGATTAGCAGATGAAAATGTTTAGCCTAAGGTTAGTTAATGCATTATCAAACTCATCATGTAGGAATAATACCAAAGCAATCTGGTTTAATTATAGCTATTTAGTAGCCTTTGTTAGGAGGGGGAGACTGAGTAGACTTAAACATTTATTGGAGCTAAATTATCAGGACAATGTATATTCATATATTATTGAAAGCTTGTCTTCAGACAAAAATTCCAGTGATCATTTCATCTGATCATACACTTCTTATTTGGGAGTAGGGGGGACACTCCCAAACATCTTTCAAACTAAAACAGCTTGAATTGTATCAGGTTTAGCTAGTTATAAGAGCCTAAAGTACAGACTGTACTCTTTTATTGGTATTTTAAGGGTGTTTGCTTCGTTTTTTGACCTTCTAGGAAAAAAATGCTACAAAAAAGGTTGTAATATTGAGCGCACAACTTACAATCACAAGTCCAGACCCAATTACAGTCATAAGTAAATCTGTACCCAGAAATTTTGGGATTCCATCACATGCAGCGATGAGCAGAGCTAAAATAAGTAGGGCCAAAAAAGAATGAAACTACTGTTCTTTTTTCTTTCTGGCTACCCTTTTTTCCCCCTGCCATTCATTTTACTATTTGGAAATTAAGTTTAGTCAAGCTCTTATAAATCAATCCCCTTAGTCTGCATTTTAATGACAACTAGATGCAGAAGTATACTCAGAAGTTTGGGTTCTGTCCATTATTGGAAGTCAAGTGTCTTTCTTTCTTTCTTTCTTTCTTTCTTTCTTTCTTTCTTTCTTTCTTTCTTTCTTTCTTTCTTCTCTCTCTCTCAAGCAAAACTAAAAACACAATAAAAGAGAAAGAAAACCTGTCATTATTTGTCAGATTTATACTGCCATATTGTTGTTAAGGATACACACAAAAAGAAACAATCCAAAAAGTTAAGGAAGTAGAGATTACTTAAATCTCTAATGTCTTTTTACCAGAAATCAGTTTTTATCATCAATTGCTGTCACTGACAACTTCTCCAATTGAAGTCAGTACTTCCAGTTTGACAACTAAAAGTTTGACACCACCCCCTCACCCATTTTACAGTCCAATGCCAACAGAAGCTGGTTATCAAGTATTCAATGGGAAGCAATATATGGCTAGTGTGTTTTTAGCAAAAAATAGTTGTGAGGATGTCTGTATTGGAATAGCCTATATTGGGGGCGGGGGGAGAGTTAGTCTAAAACAAGGTGATGATTTTTCCCATAAGTCATTCATTGCAGTGTTTGAACACCTTTTCTCTAGGGTAGTGTGGATCATCTTAATAGTTGCTGTTGTGTGTTGGTTAATTTTTGATACTGCCAAGCAAGGGACCAACCAGCTCATTTCCTTTGGTGGACTTATTATGTATATTCTCTTGATGCTGATCTTCTCCAAGTACCCAACTAAAGTGAGTATGTTTACAATCTTTCATTTATATTTATTTTTATCACATTTAATGTGTATTTGCAACACACTGAGTAGATGCCTGATAGCATAGCTTATTCACTGTCTTTTATTTGTATCTTTGTTTTACACAGTTCAGCCTTTGATTTCTATAATCATTTGTATCCTGCCTTTATTATTTTTATAAATAACTCAAGGTGATAAACATATCCGGCACATCTTCCTCCTCCTATTTTCCCCACAATGGTTGTGGTGAATTGTGCTGAGAGAGAATGACTGGCCCAGGTCACCTAATTGCCTTTCATGACTAAGGCAGGACTAGAACTCACAGTCTCCTGCTTTCTAGCCTGGTGTCTTAACCACCAGACCAAACTGGCTCTTACCAATTATATATCCTCCAGATATGTCAGAACAACTCTCAAAATTCCCAAATAGCATGACATTTGAGGAATTCTAGGAAGTATAATTCCAATATGTATAAAGGATACTAAATTGAGAATATTGGGTTGGATTAAGCTTAAATGTAGGAAAAAAACATTAAAAAGGGGGCAGAAAAATATTTATAAGATATAGTTGTGAATTCTTTCTGTCCTTTGCAACTCTTCTGCAATATCTCTGCCCAAGGTAATGTTCTAAAATGGCGTAGCTTTCCACTTGATACATGCTCCAAAGCTAGAAGCCAAGAGTATTCAAGTCTAATATATATATATATCATGTTTTTAAAGCTGTTCTTTTTACATGAGTCATTCTCAAGGTAGGTCTTGATAGGAAGGAATACACAAAACAGAAACTTTAGTTTTGATTCTAATTCTTATTCTACTATGACCAAGCCTAGACCAGTTTTTAAAATGTTATCGCTCTGGTCCAAAGCTTTGTTGCAAGTTGGATAGCATCCATGGAGGATTGCTGAATTTTTTTTAAGATTGGGCGGCTAAGTAGATGAGTCAGTGGCTCCAGCTGATTCCAGCAGAAAATTATATATTTGATCCTGGAATGTGCAGCCTAACTTTAGAGATAAGTTGGTTACATATCCTACTTCATGCTGGATAATTCTGTATTTGAAGCCATTCTTTATTTCATGAGAGAGAGACAATGATCTTGTTGCATTGCACAACAGTTCACTGTTTTTTTCAGGGACGGCCCAAGCTGGCTAAGTCTATCCAAAGGCTTGTATACTTCATTTCTTTTGTATCTTGTTAGAAACTGGCAGATAATAATAATAATAATAATAATAATAATAATAATAATAATAATAATAATAATAATAATAATAATAATAATAATAATAAAGTTGGAAGGGACCTTGGAGGTCATCGAGTCCAACCCCCTGCTCAGGCAGGAAACCCTATACCATTTCAGACAAATGGCTGTCCAGTCTCTTCTTAAAAACTTCCAGTGTTGGAGCATTCNTTAAAGACCCCTGGGTTAGAAGGTATAAAAATGTTAGGTTTTATGTAAACACCTGTTTTATGAAAACATCTAAGGATTTCCAAAGAGATATACTCAGTACAACATAGTATTCATTCATTTCAAAGCATAATCATTTCTTTTTAATTACTGATGATCTGAAAATTGCTGGTAACTGTTGCAATTTTGTTTCAGGAAAAAAAACAAAACCAGGAGATGGAGACATTTTGTATGCAGTCTGGACAGCTGACATGATCTTTCTTTTTTTCCATTACAGCTTATCTGGCAATGGTGATTGCAGCCTGCATCTTGAATTTTCACAGAGCCTTAGCACTCTTCGTCCTCACTCTCCTAGCCATTGTTTTCATCTGTTGGGACTTTTTCATAGCCAGATATGAGGGTAAAATTGCAGAGCTACTGTCTCCTTTGGGAAAATTTCTGAAAGCTCAGTGGTTTTGGTTGAAATGGTAATTAACCAAGTTTCTTTTTAAAAAAAAAGTGAAAATGAGATTATGCAGTTGTTTGTGATTTTCAGTAC